GGGGCATGGCCACGTACCTGTTATACACATTGCGAGACACATTGCTAAACTTAAATAAATAATAACATTAAAAATTCCAATGATAAAAATCAACTACAAATAGGTACTTTGAAAAATTGAATTGATAAAGTATTTTTTAAATATATTTTAGAAATCTTTTCTTTATCATAATTGGCTAGCCCATCCTTCCAAAAACGTCTGCGCACGCCTTAGGTAATATGTGATTTTACTCAAATGTCAGGTATTCAAAAATCATAAACAAAAAAAGAAAAAGAAAAACGATTACAGTTGAAAGCGTTTTATCAATGGCGCGTGTGGGTCTGAGAGACAAAACACAAAATGTGTTGTCTCCAGAGACGGCCGTCTTATACGCACGACGACATAGACAAAACGCGTTTACGCAGTCTGAGTAGGACTCGCTCAATAATTTTGGTTCTATAGTATAAAATACCTATAGTACAAAACTGAATAATTGTGATAATATTTCGGAGGGTAAGACGGTGCGTTTGGTTTTTTTATACTTAAAAAATGTTGGAATTTTCACTATTTCTAAACGATATATTATCATGGAATAAACGCACCTCTGAGGGCAAGACGCCCTTGGAAATATTATGATCACAACAAATTCAATTTTATATTTTAGTTATTATTATACTAGTCCTTTAGTGATCTAGGGAAAATATGTCGGATACTCACCAAAGTGCAAAGTCAGGTTGACTTGGTTCGGGTATTGAACGCTCTCGTACATTGTTTCCGACTGCCACCACGTCCGATTCGCGTAGCTGCTGAAATCTGTCATGTAGTATGGCGAATGAGACGATTCTGTGCACACGTCGCACGTCTTCTTGGTCACTTGACTGCCCGACTGCACGCAAAATTCCGTGGGACCGGATTGCCCACACGTGTTGGTCGCTTCCACTTCTAATCCGAACGCCGCGTTCTCGAAACCCGGTATGCATCTCTGCAACGGACAAAAACAAAAACAAAAATCCGTCAAACGTTCGAGGCCGTGTGCCGCGTGTGTACATCGCGTAGAATGTTCAGCCGCGTCCAACGACACGGTAACGCGGTTAATCTTGTGGTAATCTTACCTATAACCGACTAATCACAACAGAGGATTTACGCGAGCGTGTATAGTGGAAGTTACCAACCTTTAGAAAACCGCGGTCGTGTGAACACATCCAAAACACTGCAATGGTACGGTAACTTGTGGTTAATAGGACGTCTGTGGATAAAACGCGTTTTTCGCTCGCTAATTATTAACTAATAGCATTTCTATTTATTAAAATAATATTATAATATTGTCATTGGCTGTTATTATAATAACGCGCAAAGGATCGCCGCGTCTTATAACGAGAATTCGAAATTCGGTGGAAAATGTTCGGTTAATCTGCAGCGTAGCCAAAATTCGACCGTAATAAAATTGAAAATTCTCTTTTACTGTCGAAACTGATTCTAAGCAATTAATTATTTTATTTTATTTTCCAGCGACGATAATACCATAGAATACTATGAGAATAATAGTAGATAGTTAGTAGTATGATAATAATAATAGTATACTATGATAATACCGATGAAATTAAATAATTCAATCGTACCACCGATTCTTATGTTAATACAGGCTACACTGTTTACTAACAGCTATGGAAAATCTATTCCAAATATTACTATAAAAGCGATCGTTCTGGATATTCTGTGTTAACACTAATTAGTGCCTAATGATTATTGAAAAACGCTGTAATGGCATAATAATAATGATTACGTATTTTCCAGAGTTCGATCGACAGAGGATAAAGTGATTTTTTTTTTTTTTGATTCCAATAAGTAATTATTATGTACCTACACGAAAGCAATTAAATAATAAGCGTATGCTGCAGGTACGTATTATACATTAATAAACATAGAATTTGCCGTGCATGATAATATAACGCATATCATACACTTTTTACCTACCGATCTCGAAGCGAAATACAAATGTTTAACATTGGTAAAAGTAATAATTAATGTTGTTATTACTGATGAGGTATCTCCCGAGAACGAACAGTTTCTTTACGCGGTGGCGGCGGCGGCGAACGTTTCGAATGACACGATTTACATATTACATTAATCGCTCCTACGTATATTATGTTATTCGATGGTTTTGTTATAATAGTTGTACGGCGATCAGGCACTTAGCCACGCAAGTTCTCGTCGAATGTGCGTAATTATTTCGATCGCGATTTGCGGTAAACAGTTGTATAGTAAAGTTTATTAGGTCGTTAAAAAATTCCTTCGGGAATCGCGGCATTGCGTCGTGTGTTATTTATCTGAATAATATCTGCTCAAGGGACCCGCGCATTATATTATGATATTCGACAAGGTCGAAACTGCGAATCCTTTAAAAATATATACACATCGTACCCGGGCACCACAAATATTATTTTTGGCCCTGGTACAGTGGTACAGAACAGAATCCGGGCCCATCTCAGTTAATAACAATTAATCTTGGAACACTTTGCTAATATATGTTATTGAAGTAATGATTCGCATGATCGCCGAGCCCCTCGAAAGTCCGGGACTAGTCCTTCTGACCCCCCCC